AATGTGTAATTCAATCTGGCAGCCGTGGACATCAGCTACTAGAGACAGGTCTGCATTCACAACAAGTGAGAGATACACTGTGATCCACCTATAGGGCTACTTACTGAGACCTGGGCTGGGAGCACCGATTTTTAATAAACCCGAAAGGAATTCTGATCACAGCAAATAGGGTTTTTTTTTTTCTTTTTCTTTTTAATGACAAATCTACTATATATAGTACCTTCCCTTTGACGAGTGAAAAAGAAAAACAGAAGAGCTGAGTCAAATTTTAGGTCAACGAATATTTGTAGTTTTCCTGTCCAACAAGAACCTTTGCTGTAAATTCTTAAAGTAAATAACACATGCTGAAAAAAGACTGCATTTTAGGAGAGATCCTGCACCAAAGCCTTTCATAAAAATAGTATGCAGCATCCACTGAACATCCTGTCTCATTTCCATTCTGAAATCAATGTTTGCTTGGTCTAAATTCAGATTTAACTAATAAAAACAAATACAATAAAACGGTATTCCACATCGCTCAAGAATTATCTTCCAAAGGTATTCAGACTTCCTTACATTACTTACCAGTCCTATGTAAGTCTTTTAAAGAAAAATCTCTGCTTCATCTCTAAAGGAAACTCACTGTTTAGTTAAGGTGGGATTTGCGGTCAGATTTGTTTCATACAAAGAGGAAAAAATGGAGGTATTTTCCTTTACTACAAAGGCAATACCTTTTATCTTTAGAGGTGTATATCCATTTCAGTCTGTATTTCATAGCAAATTATATTCTTAACCAGAAAATTCATACGTGTTTTGAATGTAACATTTTATTATATAGCTTGTTTGTGCCTAGTGTTAATCAGCACCCAGATAGTTTTATTTTCAGAAAAGAGGACATTGTTTTCAGTCTTCAAAATGTTTTTATTAAAAGTTACTATGTATGTTTTAAAAAGTAACATGCTCACTTGTAAAGCATTCAAACAATTCAAAGGAAAATAAAGTAGAAACCAAAGTCTCCACCTAACTGCCCCCCCCAGATGTTTATTGTACTTACTTTATTAAAAAGGGGAATCATATCAGGCCTACAGCTTTTCGATGGCAGTAAGGCAAGAAAAGATTACTTTTTACAAAGCATTTACATTTTATAATTAAACATACACACACACAGTTCATTGTAAACTTCTTGTTAGAAAATAAGCAAGAAAATGAGAAAATAGAAAAAAATAATCTTCGTATCTGAAATTAAAACTTTTTTTTAAAGGACATAATTTAGAAACGTTTCTTCCTCCCTTCCACCCCCCAATAATAAAAGGTTGCGGACTAACATCAAGAAGTAGCTGTCTTTTGAAGGTCAATCAATCATCTGGTTTTAGTAAAAACTAAAATATTACAAAACACTGACAGTGAAACATGCAGTGAACTCAAAGAAAAATCAGAGCCAGCAATGTGGATTAAACATGACATTAAAAGCAAGAAGAAGACACAAAGCTCTTTTTCTTCCCAGAGTCAAGCAAAATGACTAGGACTTGCAGAGCTCATCCCACCCGTGAGCAGAAAGGGTGCACAGACATCATTCCCAGCAGCAGCTGCTGCAAACAGACTGTGCACATTTATCCGGTGACTGGGATGCACAAAGCAAGCACAGACTTTCCGTCAAGAATCTTGACTAATCTGACACTGCCCACAGTAGATAGGAAATCTGAGGCTATCAATACAGCTAACTGACGCACAGAAATCATCATAGGTAGCTCTGGAAAGAGAACACAGACTCCCACCCCCAAGCAAGAATTCAACTCAAGAAGCCAGAGCAAACTCCTTTTGCATTTTTCAAAAGAAAGGGGGGGTGTGGTGTGGTGTGGTGTGGTGTGGTGTGGTGTGTGTGTGTGTGTAGGCACACACCCATGTGTGCACAACCTTTCTAGAGGAGTGGCTTCCGAGAACTGGGCTGAATTCAGATAAAGTAAGTAGAAATGCTCTTCCATCAAATGGCAAGGATTCCTAGAACAGCCTTCTTAGCATGCACCAACAAAACAGGCAGAAATCTATGCCCTCATGAAGCTGACTTTAGTAGACACAGGTAGAAAACAAGTAAGATAAATAAAAGACATAATGGGCTAGAAGTTGGTAAGTGTAATGCAGAAAAATTAGAGAAGGGCAAGAAGGAATACAGAAAGGAGGCCCTGTGTATTTTTTTTTTAAGTAGGCTCCACACCCAGCGTGGAGCCCAGTGGGGCTCTGAGATCGAGACCTGAGCTGAGATCAGGAGTCAGACGCTTAACCGACTGAGCCACCCAGGCGCCCCTTAGAGGCTGTTGTGTATTTTATAAGACAGACAGGTAAGGCCTCACTGAGAAGGTGATAGCTCAGTAAAGAGCTGAAGGAAGGGAAGGAACAAGTCTAAGATGTCCCTAAAAACAGATTTAATTCAGTTTAGTTCTAGACTAAAATATTAACTCCATGATATCAACAAGAAATTCAAAACTAACTCAATGCCCTCAATGCCCCTATCCCTACTAGACCTCCGCACCCAACTACAGCAGATGCAGCAGCCTAACAAGACAAGTGAATGGAAAGATCTCACACATGATGACCAGAGCAACAGGGTCCACTCAGCAATCTCCTCTGCTTAAATAGTTCACAGAGCTTCTACCTCACCAGCAAGGACCTCACTGCTGCCCTGCATCCGTATCAAAGGTTCACATGTTAGAGTGTGGCTCTTCATTCCATTTGGCCTGCTTGGACAGGAGGGTCTTGCAGAGACTCTAAGCCTCTGTCACCTCTACTGTGATCGGCGACCTCCTATCATCAGCCTGAAAGACCTCAAGTGAGGAGCAGACCATGGGCAGGCCAACTGGGGTGAGAAGGGGACGGGTTGTTGGGCCCTGCAAGCATGACAGAGAACACAGGAGGTGCCGGTGATTATAATTTAAAGGGGGGATAGTGGATTAGTGGATCCGTGGAAAATAAAGAAGGCAGGTACTAGGACTCCAGGCCCCATGCAAATGGGTCAGGGATGATTTCTGAGGATTTGGATCAAGTTAGCAGAAAGCAGCAGAGTACCATATCCATTTTGGTTTGCTGGGGCCGGCAGGGTAAGTACAAAAGGACACCCAGAGATGGGTGTGGCTGGGAAGGAAGGGTGCAGAGACATATAAAGAGGTTCAGAACCAAAGGCAAGGGAAGAAATGGGAACTAGAATTCAGAAAGGTAGGCGGGAGATCAGACAGGGTCTGGAACAAACTCAGAGCCCCAGGCTGTCATACAAGCAGAGGCGGCTTGTGAAGCCAAGGAAAGGAAGTGCCTGCCGCCCACCCTAAATTCAGTGCCTTGCCAGTGAAGGTACAAGAGCTGCCAGCAGATCCGTCTCCACGGGGCTGGACTCTGCCGGTACTGGTGACTGAGGACTGCAACTAGGGCGCAGGGCAACATCCTTGCCACATCCGTCCTTTCTCTTACAGCTCCTTGCATCCTCTGCATCTACTCACATCTTTCTTACATGTGTGTACACACAATCATAAACACACACACACACGCACCCCCCCCCAACTTTAACTCCTAACCTGTTTCTAATTCTGGAAGGAGTAAGTTTATAAAAATCACCACCATTCCTTTCCCAGTAAGAGTCCAGTCAGGCACCGACTGATTCTACTTGCTGAGGAGCTGTTTCTCACCATCAACCACACGTGACAGAGGCTTTGCAATGGTAACACAGGATGGCACCTGCCCCAGAGCAGACCTCAAGTTCCAGATAAGCCTTTCTGACACGATATACATCACAGGAAACAAGATGACTGGAGCAAGTTACAAAGGAGGATACTTAATACGCTTTAGAAAAGAAATCAGTATCTATCCTGAAGTCCAGGTTAATTTCCAATCCCTAAGAAATTCAGAGGAATTGTCAAGAATCTTTAAATACTATATTTTTCAAAGTCATTTTTGCCAGGCAGGAGGATAAACATAGCTTTCAACCGTCATAAATCCCAGCCCTTGACTGCAGTGTAATTTCCAGAAGCTGGTAGGTATCTGACGTGAAGTTCACTTATATTAAATGGCACAGCAATGAAAACCTGGCAATCTGATCCAATACCAGCAAGACTAGATATCAAAAGTGCTTCATAAACTAGTAGTTTTTTACACCATCTATTTCAACACAGTGGAATCAGTGTTCTATAAAAACACTGGTAAAAAGAAATGGTTTAGTAAGAACTGAATCCACCTTATTCTCTAAAGGAAAACAGTTAACTGTCAACACTTTTTAGGGGCTACCCCCTAAATGTGCCCTATTTTGTATCCTGATGAAAACTGGTCAACTGTTAACTTTGAAGCCAGGTCAGTTAAGGAAAGCAGCCCATCTCCAAACACAAATCAGATGCTGGGACAGACAGGTCAAGAGATAGTCATTAATAATGGGCCGTTTCTGGTGGAAGTAGCAATGATTTCATGACTTTGTAAAGCATTTTTAATAACTACCTATCTTCCCCTTTTAATTGTTAAGCTTATAATTGCAATTGTGATTAAGCATTCATTCTACCATGAACTATAATTTGTTAATGCGGGGAAAGTTTGATTTTTATGAAACATTTTTAGGTCTTTCCCTCGCAGATACTGAGCAATGCATTACTAATTGTGTTTTACCTTTGCTTTTGCCACTATGATATTCATAATCAAATCTGTAGTCACACCAAGTCACACCATGGGAACCACATTAGAACTTGTATCTTCCACCCGTTTTAGTTTTCCCCAAATCTCAACATTCTAATAAAATTAATATTTTTGCTGATCCTGATTTTTATCTTTCAAACTTACGACACCATTTTATTTCACTAATTTCTAGTGAGGCTCAGATTTTTGTGGAATAGCAAATATAAACAAAATGCTTTGTTCAGCGCATATTTAAAATAAAGATTTGACAAGAGTTCTATTGCCCTGATTCATCCTTCTTCTCACTCCACATTAATGAACACAGAATCAAAGTGTCCACGAACCAGTAATGGCCAGAGAAGATTCCACCCAGTACTTACCAGGAGCAATGGTCTCCAGCGTATCAGCACTGACCTTCCGAGTACTTGTGCAGTGATGGAGGGTGGAACCCGAAAATACCAAGTAGAAAACTACATCATCCTCAACTTTGTCCTCTTCAGCCAGCAACACGGTAACTACACAATCGCCCTAGGAAAGGAAAGACAGAGTCAGGTTCCCCTTGGGAGTCCGTCTTCCCAAAACATCAAATTCAAGGGAAAATCAAATGTATCATCTAAACTGGGTCCCATTCTAGTAGGTTATACAAATATAAACACCGAGCACTTACGTGCCAGGAAGTATTATAGGCACTGAGAATACAAAATGATCTGAAAATGAGATCTCTGTCTTCCTTAAAGCTTAGGTTTTAGTGGAGGTGGCTGGACAAATGAGGTATTACAAAGTAATAGTTGGTTTGGATATTTACTTGATGAACAGGTAAAAAAGAAATCTAAAAGAATCCAAAAATAAGGCCAAGAGGATGGAGGAGGCATACTGAACAGTTACATCCTTATACCCGGAACGCCCCCTGACCCATGTTCCAGTGGCAGTAATAACTCTCAATCTTCCATCCCAGAAATCGCTGCCAAATCCACCCATTCTCCAACAAGGAGAGTCTCCAATGAGCTGGCCTGGAAATGGCAGGGAGCAAAGGGCATACGCTTGGGCTCCAGTCAAATCTACAAAGACTTTACTTAAATCCTCTAAACCCCACTTTCCCTGGCTATATAAATGGAGACAATACCTTCTCTTCTTGTGGCCAATATATGAAAACTCTTGGAACACATTCAGCTCTCAGGCTGCGATAATAGTCTTAATCTACAAGGATGGGACAATAGCTTTTCCAATTATGTGTTTCCTGACCATCTGGAATCCCTACTCTTCTTTACCCACCTCTCCATCAAACCCTTGGAATTAGACAAAAACCTTGTGTCCGCACCTTTGTCCATGACTCTGCAACTACTGAGAAGATATCACTGTTGTTTATTCACATATTCTTTCTAGTTTTTACACGTTCGTGGTTTTTTTTTTTTTTGAGGTTAGTGTCTAAATTAAATATATTCTATAAAGTACAGTCCTAACTACTATTCTCCCAATCATAAACATTATACAATTCATGTTGTCGCCATAAAAGATTTTAAAGCACTGAGGTTTAGTACCGTCTAAATCTTAATAATGCACTATGAAAAAAAAGAAAAAAAGAATAATGTACTATGGAAAAACCAATTTAGAGAAAGCCAGGCTACTTTACCATTAAATAGAGGTGAGAATACTCCTTCCTTACAGCATTTTTTTTTCTTTTCCATTTTAGCAACAGTGAAGCCTATTCGAGAACCATGCCACCCTGTGGCCACAATTTATTAAGCCCAGCAGCACCCCAGAACAGCAGGTAGTTTCATGCAACACTGAAAACCAAAAATCGTAACAGCAAACTTAGGATCAGGTCTATTAACAGCAATGCTTCAACAGGTTGATTCTGGAAACAGAGTTCAAGGTATTTCCCAAAGTCCCAGATGCCCATCTCTTCATTTATCCCCAGTGCTTTGTGCAGAGCCCTGTACATGGTATGGGCTCAAATCTGTTCAGTGCAACAGGTAAGAAGTCAGAAAGAACTACAAATAAGCTGTGACTTCCTACAAATGCTGAACTGCAAAGTTCCTAAGCACCCTACCATAGGAATAGCACAGTCGGTAAAACAGAATCATCACTGGCTGCAGTCACTATTTAGAATTATAATGGAGACTTGTGTAAGTCCCTTTCCTGGAAACGTTTTTGAAAAGCTCAGGCTGGCAAAATGTTTAATACCCTTTGGCATGATAAACCTCAGCCAGCTAAAATGTCTACAGCACATGAGAAGAATAAATTTCTCAAGGTATGGAAATACCATTATAACCTGAAAAAAAAAAAAAAAAGTGTGAAAGAAAGCTCTAAAGTTTCATCCTTCCCAGCACAGGTTGGCTGACTATAATCCATGGGTGCAATCCAGCTCTCCGCTTCTTTTCATAAGGCTCAGAAGCTAAGAAAGGTTTTCACATTTTCAAGTGGTTGGAAAAAAAATCAAAAGAAAAATATCTTTTAACATGTGAAAATGACATGACATTTGAATTTCAGTGTCCATACATAAAGTCTTCTTGGAACCCAGCCATGCCCACTTGTTTACACGCGGTCTGTGGCTACTTTTGCACTACAATGAGCCACAGCAGAGTTGAGCAGTTCCCACTGAGATCCTGTGGCCTGCCAGCCTAAACTACTTACAGTGTGGACTTCTTGGGGGGGGGGGGGATGATAAACAGAATTCTAAGAATACATCTTCTTTCCCAAGATCAGGGATTTCCTCTTCACGTGAGACCCAACATCTTGCTAGAAGACTCTGTGCCCAAGATATTAAGTGGTATTTGGGACCTTCTTTTAACTGAGGGCAGAGGAGAGGGCTACAGGGCAGTTTAAATCCTTTTAACAAAGCTTTCAACATCAACTTCTTTCTTCATTCCCAAGACAAAAGTAAATAAGCTTTAAACTTTTTTTAATGTTAAGTCAAACTACCCAAAACACTAAATAGAAGGGCACACAGAAGCCTCATTCACCTCAAAGCTACTTGAAATTCAGATTCCAAAGGCACCTGGCATGAAAGTACCTGTTTTCGCTCAAGGAGAGCCCTCTGCACTCTCGTCAAGTCCCTGGGAGCAAACAATCCACACTCTCACTCCGCAGGTCAGCTACAAGACCCCTACGTAGATCCCCCCCAGCAGTACAGGGCACCCAGAGGCCCTGCAGATGGACTTGCAAGATTAAGCTAGTGCAAGGGTGACTGAAAAATAAGGCTGAAAAACAGATCTAAGTAAGAATTTTTGTTGAGGTGATTGCTTTAACCACACCTCCCCTAAGGAATATCCTGGCACATGATTTTGCTGCTCATGGGAAGGATACGCCCCATGGAATGAATACATAGGTCAATCTGGCTGCCCAGTTAATAAGTCTGTCACGCATCTAACGACAATAGATAACAAGGGCAATTTTCTGTACGTTCTTGACTAAAGCCCCAGGAAGAGAGGCATCTACATCTCCACTTCTCCAGTAAACTGAAGAAACATAGTGCTCTCCTTACAAAGATACTTTCCTTGTCTCTTCATTAATGGAAAATATATCCTTGAACCTCACAGTTTTGTCAGAGTCCTGATTATTTTTGCTGACAGGTGACAAAAGAACTAATGGAAAAAGACAATCTATATGAGGCCCCATTTTGTAGGTATTGGTGATCCCCAAAATATGAATGCACTGTAGTCCTAAATGCCACCAGTCAGTCACTTATTTGCCAAGAAAAACAGAATTTTATTTTTATCTGTTTTTTAAAATGTATTATTTTTATTTAAATTCAATTAGCCAATATATAGTACATCATTAGTTTTTGATGCAATGTTCAATGATTCATTAGTTGCATAAAACACCCAGTGCTCATCACATCATGTGCCCTCCTTAATGCCCACCAGAATAACAGAATTTTAAATGGCAGCTGTGGTCTCAATTCTCCCCATCTTTAACTCATGTATATAGTAGATATATGGTATTAATGTTGCTATAATCACCTTTACGTATTTATTAATGACTAAAACAAAATTTTTTTCCCACTCAGATTTCTAACCTGGAATTCAAAGAACAGATCTTCCTTTTGTAGAACAAGGATTTTTCTCTCCACATGAGACCCAACACCTTGCTGATAGACTCTCCATGCCCCAAGATATGAGTTATGCCTGGGGCCTTCCTTAAACCAGGGACAGTATCTTGATTAGGGGGGAAAAAAGGAATGGGCCAGGGAAAAGCATCAGAGCCGGGAGAAAGTGAATTACAGTGTGGGAAATGAACAAGGCCTTGCAAACAGGGGAGATGTTAGCTGGAGATGAGGGGAGTGAGACAGGAAGTTTTGTGGGAGGAATGGTCAAAGAAGGGCCAGCACTGACGTCTCAGATGGCAAGACAGTGCCAGCCGTCAGGTTTCTGGCGGTGGGCCCCGGCAGTGGTAAGCTGGAGCTGGCTTGTACAGGCTCGTGAGAGCCGATCGCTGTGTTTTTAGGAATTCTGCAAGCTTGTTAACACAGCCATTATTAAAAATTAAATAAGCTCAGAATTACGTAAATTATATTAAAAACAAATTAATAAATACTCAAAACTCATCACTTTATTTTACCACACCTTCCTGTTACCTATAATCTCGAGGTTTACATCTATTTTATCTCTATGACAGAAATTCTATCATGATGGTGTGCTACTGCACATTTTCCCCAACACACACCCCTTGCCAACCTTTTGTTCAGTGAGGTGGCAATGATAGCTTGAAATCAACGATAATAGCAGTATTTACACACTGAAATTGGCAAATGCTACAAATCAGGGCTTTTCTTTTTTCTTTTTAACCATCACATCATTGAGAATAGGTTAGCAGAAGGGGAGAGAGGGAAAGTGAGAGAATTTCTACAGGGAAGGCAAGGATATGCCATGGCAGGCCCGATCTAGACAGGAGACTGCTTATGAGAATGAGAGTGGAGGACCAGCCCTCAGAGAAAACCCGGGGCAAGTACAAAGCATCCCAGGTCCACGGATAACAACGCTGCCAGAATTCTGCTCACGGAAGATCAATGTTATCTCCACCTTAAGTCAATTTGTTTTCTAACTTTCAAATTTGGCTTTTAACTTATTAACATACCACAGTGGGTAAAGGGATGGTCTCTGAACCACAGCATGGCACATCACTTTGTTTTAACCTCTTCGGTACGTTAAATTCTCAGCCATAAGAGAGGACCATCATATTTACTTCATACGGTTTTAATTAAATAACTGATAAAAGTGAAGCTCCTGGGGGCGTCTGGGTGGCTCAGCTGGTTGAGCATCTGACTCTTGGTTTTGGCTCAGGTCATGATCTCGGGGTCATGAGAGCAAGCCCCGTGTTGGACTCTGTGCTCAGCGGGGAGTCTGCATGAGATTTTCCCTCCCTCTGCCCCTCCCCCACATGTGTGTACTCTTTCTCTCCTCTCTCTCTCAAACAAATATATCTTTTAAAAAAAAGTGAAGCACCTACAGCACTGCATGGGATATAACACATGTTCAATAAATAGTAATTATTGTAATAATTATTGTAATAATTATTATTTTTTTTTA